GTAAACGTCACTTCTTCAGTGTTACTTTTTTAAATGTTCCACACTAGCAACTTACACGATGAACTATAATAATATTCCGACCAACAACAACACTTACTGGACCAACAACAACACTTACGGGACCAACAACAACGCTTACTGGACGTCCGGCGCGGAGAACAATTAACGAGATAATGAGAAACTGACGAAACGATTGCTTACTTTTAACAGCTTTTTCACAGACCAGGTCACAAATAATCTTTAATTATTGACTACATTGTAGTAAATATATAAGTATGCACCTCCAATATGTGTTTTTTCTAAAAAAAAAAATATATCTCCGAAAAAAAAATTTGAGCTACTAGGGATTCAGCTCGATTGTAGTTCAAAGTGCCTTTTTTCTTGTAAAAAAGTATGAAAGAAAAGTTTTTGCAAAATTTAATTTCGAGAAAAATTTTCATAAAAACAAAAAGCGAAAATTTTACCATTCGATCTTAAAGTGGCAAACAATTACTAACATTTTAGTGAAAAAATTATTGAGATCTATTCGTTTTTAACAAAGTTATGGATATTTGAAAAATAAATTCCTAGGTATCGATTTTCATCTAAAAAACAAAATAGCTTAAATTTAAGTCAGCCAAAAAAATTTGTTTACCAAAAAAAAATGTTACACGAGTCTCATTATTTGGACCAATAAATAACATACTTCAGTTCGAAGGAAATTAAAAATCATGCCCGTACGTGTTCGCTTGTCTTGAAATGGAAAGCCAGCATCCCATTGATAAAAAGAACACTACCGGTAACGAGAACTGTGACTCTCGATGGCACAGAGGTCAACACTGTTTGCGAAGTGAGATTTTTGGGCAATACGTTCGATACCAAACATTTCGATGACCAGGGTCACAAGAGCACTAATATCTAGAGGCTGCAGTCCTCGGATACCCAGATGGATGACCTATGATAACCTATGGAGCGGTGGCCTAGGGCTCGAGAGTCAATGTAGTGACTGTGAGGCGCTCACTCACGACAGCAGCAATGGATGTTATTCTCGAGC